TAGAGATTCACTACAGCATCAAAGAGAAATGATGTGAAATGGACATGTCTGCAGGCTTAAAAGCTCAGCTAACGGAAGTAAGGAAATAGGATGCAATGATTAAAGCCTAGGATGTTAACAGAAAAGAGTTTAGTCAGGAAGAACTCTTCCACAATGTTACAGTAAGCCAAATCAAAAGCACCTGCTACAGTGTTCATGGATTGGAAGACAAAATAATTAAGGTGACAATTCACCCCCAAATAGATACACAAGTTTGCTGCAGTTCTTATCAAAATCCCAGTGAAATTTTTTGTAGATATAGACAAGAATATTTTAAAATTTACACAGAAAGACAAAGGAAATGGTAAAACAATTTTGAAAAAGAGAAACTAAATGAGAGCAAACACTCTATCTGGCATATATATATAGCTACAGTAATCAACACTGTACAATACTGGTTGATAGCTAGACACATAGATGAATGAAGCAGAATAGAGAATATAGAAATAGCCCTACAAAAATATGATCAAATAATTTTGTACAAAAGCAATTCAATTTGTAATGGTAATCTTTTCAACAAATGCTGCTGGAATCATTGGAGGTTAACAGAAAAAAAAATAGAATCTCTACCTGAGTTTCATACCTTATTCAAATATTAACTCAAAAAACAGATCATAGATGAAAAACATAAAACTATAAAACATTTAGAAGAAAGGGTAAGAGAGAATATTCCAGACCAAGAGCTTGGCAAAGAGTTCTTAGGTATGGGGCTGAAAGCACAATCCATAAAAGAAAAATGCCAGTAAATTTTACTTCATCAAAATTAAAAACTGTGTTTCTGAAAGATTCTCTTGAGAGGGAAAAAATGATGAGCTTCAAACCAGGAGAAAACATGTGCAAACCATGGTATCTGGTAAAAGACCCATATCTAAAATTGATAAAGAATTTTCAAAATTCAACATTTTTTAAAAAGTCCATTTAAAAGACAGGCAAATGACATGAAGAGACATTTGACTAAAAAGAAAGGCACAGATGGCAAATAAGCACATGAAAGATGTTTAACATCACTAACTGTCAGGGAAATGCAAATTAATACCACGATGAGATATCACTACACACCTAGCAGAACAGCTAAAATTTAAAAACAGTAACGATACCAAATGCTGACAAGGGTGTGGAGAAACGGAATCTCTCAAACATTGCTGGTGGGAATCTAAAACTCTGCAGCCACCCTGGAAAATACTGCAGCAGTTCTTTAAAAACTAAGCATAACTTACCTTACAACCCACCAAACATTCCTGGGCACTCATCCCAAAGAAACAAAACTGATTTCTGCATAAATGCCTGTGTCAAATTATTAATAGTCATTTTCATTGCAATAACCAAAAACTGAAAACAGTCAAAATGTCTTGCAAAAGAATGTAAAAGAGACATGGGAAAAGGCATTTTTGCAAGACATTTTGTAAATGGTCAAACAAAATGCGGTATGTCCACAGCATGAAAAGGGCATCTTGCCGAATGAAAAACGCCAGTCTCAAAGGTCTCATATTGTATCATTCAATTTATATTACTGACATGGTTTGGATCTGTGCCCCCACCCAAATCTCATGTCAAATCGTAATCCCCAGTATTGGAGGTGGGGGCTGGTTGGGGTGGCCGGAGCATGGGGGTGGATTTCCCCCTGGACGGATGCTGCTCTGGTAACAGTGAGTGAGTGCTCCTGAAATCTGTTGTTTAAAACCACTTCCTCCTGCGGCAGCCATGTAAGACACGCCTGCTTGCCTTCACCTTCCGCCACGATTGAAAGTTTCCGCGGTGGCTCACGCCTGTAATCCCAGCACTTTGGGAGGCCGAGGCGGGTGGACCACGAGGTCAAGAGATCGAGACCATCCTGGTCAACATGGTGAAACCCCGTCTCTACTAAAAATACAAAAAATCAGCTGGGCATAGTGGCGCGTGCATGTAATCCCAGCTACTCGGGAAGCTGACGCAGGAGAATTGCCTGAACCCAGGAGACGGAGGTTGCGGTGAGCCGAGATCGCGCCATTGCACTCCAGCCTGGGTAACAAGAGCGAAACTCCATCTCAAAAAAAAAAAGAAAAAGTTTCTGAGGCCTCCCCAGAAACTGTCATGTTTCTTGTACAGCCAGAGGAACCATGAGCCAATTAAACCTCTTTTCTTTATAAATTACCCAGCCTCAGGTATTTCTTTACAGCCGTGCTAGAACGGACTCATACAATTATTGTCAAAATGTCAAAATTACAAAGATGGAGAACAAAACAGCAGCTGCCATGGGCTAGGGATGGTGGCAGAGAGGAGGAAGCGTGTGACTAGAAAAGAATGGCACAGGAGAGCTCTCTGTGAGGATGCAACAGTCCTGCAGTGGTGATTACACCAATCTATGGGTGATAAAACAGCATGAATCTATATACATACTTTATACCATTGCTAACTTTCTGCTTTTAATATTGTAGTATATTAGGTAAAATATAACCAATGAGAAAACTGACTAGAGTTTCAGCTTCCTGTGACTCTATCATTATTTAATCCTGAAAAGTTCCTTAAAAACAAATTAAAATAAAACACACAATACGATGTTATGTACCACCAAAAGTTGGCTTCTTGTGGGGAATGAGTTCCAGATTATGATGGAGAAGCTGGTACTGAAATAAACTTTCTACTGAGTATAACTACAAAAACTAGCTTAAATAGAAGATTATTTGAAGTCACTGAAGAGCAACCAAATCATAGGATGTAGCAGGCTTGCATGCAATTTTCCTACGTAGAATGCAGAAATTTGGGCAATGTTATGCTGACGTGAGATTTCACAATCCAGACAGAATGTGGTTAAAAAAAAAAAAAAAACCCACGGGTATTCACATGAGACCTCAGAAGAGTTATACCTACTAGGAAGCGTAATGTGGAAACAAATAAGCCTCAATTAGATTACAATGATGTGCCCGTACTCTATATATCTACCAGAATAAAACTAATGTTTTGTGGAAGAAGATAACATCATCTAGAACCTCTACATCTTTTCTTACATTATGTCCAATGAATTTAAAAATATCATTTTTGCCAGATAATAAGACCAAATGTCTGAAACTCAAGAGGAAAAATGCAATAGAAACAAACATAAATGTGATACGTGTATTAGACTTAATTACAGTAACAAATATCTTTGAAAATAGTTGAAAAGGAAGATATTACAACAGAATTTGAATCTAGAAAAAGGATCAAATGTAAATCCAATTACTAAAAAATAAAAATAGCTCAAAATTTAAGAATTCAATATATGGACTTACCAGCTGACTGGACAAAGCAAAAAAGATATTTGTGAACTGGTAGAAAGGCCAGTCAGAAATACTTTGAAGTACAAAGAGAAAAATAAAAGCAATGAAAATACAGAAAAGAATGTAAACGAGACATGAGAAAAAGGAACAAAATATCTATCATTGGAATTCCAAAAAGAAGGGAGAGAGAGAATGAGGCAGAAGCAATGTTTGAAGAAATACTGGCCAAGAATTTTCCAAAGTGGATGAAAAATACCAAGCCACAGATTCAAGATACTGCACAAGCCCCAAGCAGGATAAACAGAATGAAAATACCACCTTTAAAGGAAAACAGTAAGAAAATCTAAGAAAGAATTTTTTAAAGATATAATTTGCATTGACATCAATAAACATCAAATCCCGAGGAATAAAGCTGACCCCCAAAATGTGCAAAGTCTCCTGTAGAAAACTAAGTGTAAATACTGAGAGAAATTTTAAAATATCTAAATATATAAAAGAATGATATACCATGTTCATAGATTGGAAGTCTTAATATTGTAAAGATGTTAATTCTTCTCAAACTGATCTACAGATTTGACACTATTTCATTAAAAATTCCAGCAGCTCATCTTGTGGAGATTTGTAAGCTAATTCCAAAATTAAAACTGAAATAAAAGGAGCCAAGAATAGCAAAGAGAATTTTCAAGAATTAGAACAAAGTTAGAAGATAAACACCAACACACAACAAAAATATAGAGTTAATTTAAAAGTTATAAATTTGGACCAAGAAAAGACAAATAGACCAACGAAATAGAAGAGAGAGTCAAGCAACAGATATCCATGCTTACGGTCACCTGATTTACTACCCAGGTACCACTGCAATGTAACGATGAAAAGGTGGTCTTTTAAATAACTAATGCTGGATCAATTTGACATCCTTAGGTGGAGGGACTGATCCCTACCTCAAACTATAAACGAAATATCAATTCTAAGATCAGAGACCCAAATATCAGCTTTAAAATAGTAAAGGCTCTAGAAGACAACATAGGCAAAGAAGATACAAAAAAAGCACAAAACATGAATTAAAAACATTGATAATCTAGACTTCCTTAAAGTGAAACACTACTATGCAACACTAACAACATCACTAATAGAGGGGGAAAAAGCAACAGTGTTGGAAAAGATATTTGCAATAGACATATCTAACAAAAGATTCATATTCACAACATATAAAAAATACTCTCCAAAAATTAATTTTTAAAAAGACAATTCTGGCCAGGCACCATGGGTCACACTTGTAATTCTAGTACTTTGGAAGGATCTCTTGAAGCCAGCAGATCAAGATCAGCCTGGGCAACATGGCAAGACCCCATCACTACAAAAAATTAAATTACCTGGGCATGGTTGTGTGCTTGTAGTCTTAGCTACTTGGGAGGCTGAGGCAGAAACAGCCCTTGAGCCCGGTAGTTCAAGGCTGTAGCAAGCTATGACTGCGTCACTGCACTCCAGCCTGGGCAACAGAGTGAGACCCAGTCTAGATAGGTGACTAGACAGACAGACAGATAGAACACCTTATTTTTAAAACAGGTTAAAGCCTGAACAGGTACTTCACAAAAGAATACAGTATATCCATATGGACATTAAAGATATAAAACAGGTGTTCACCATCATGAGTTGCCAGTGAAATGCAAATTAAAATCACAAGGAAACACCTCTACACATCTACCAAAATGATTCATTTCTTTTTTTCGAAACTAACATTTACTAAGTACTGCTAGTGGAAGCGTTAACAGAGGCAACTACTTCAGAAGTTTTTAGAAGGCTGAACATGTGTATAACCCAATCAGCAATTCTATTCATAGGTATATACCCAGCAGAAATGTACACTTATTTCAGGTGTGCACTTAAATATTTAAATCTTTCATATTTGAGAATGTTTTTATTTTTATTAGTAAGGCTTTGTTTTTATTAGTAAAACCAGAAACAACCCACCGTGTACGAACAGAATGGATAAATGAATTGTGGCATACAGCACTAAGCTGTCAGGAGCTGCAGCAACATACCAGCCTCTCACAGTTAGAAATGAAGCAAAAGAAACTAGACACGAAAGAGTGCATACTGCATTGTCACTGCATTTGCACAAAGTGCAAAAACAAGCAGAATTAATCTATTTTTCTAGAAGTCCACAGAATGGTAACCTTTGGAAAGGCAGGTAACTACTGGGAGGGAGTGCTGGAGAGGCACTGGTAACATTTTTTTGTGTGTGTGTGTGGGTAACTGTGGCCCCACAAGCAGCCGTCTCCTCCCAGGGTCAGTGTGGATGCTGAACTTAGTCCAAAGTTTTGATAATCACCGAGTAATGAATACCTTCCCCACTACTCTCCTCTGGGTATTTTGAGAGCGTGGGGAATTATGATCATGAACCCTCTCTGGAGTCCACCATCTCTGGATAGCTCAACTGATCCTGATTTGGAAATGTCTTTAACTGTAATCACAGTACCAAAGTAAACCTGAGGGAGCAGGGATATGATCGTGTCTGAGACTGCCAGGCACGGTGGCTCACGCCTGTAATCCCAGCACTTTGGGAGGCCAAGGCGGGTAGATCACTTGAGGCCAACATGGCAAAACTCCATCTCTATTTTTTTTTTTTAGAATGTTACCAGAGGCACTGGTAACATTCTAAGGCTTGCTCTGGGTGGTACTTACATGACTGCGTTCACGCTGCAAACATTCATCAAGCTGTACTCTTAAGGTTTATGTACTTTACTATCTGTATGTTATATATTACACTTCAACTTTTTCAGTTTCTTTTAAAGCTACTTAAGATAAGATTTAACAGGGGAAAAAACAGTCTATGAAAGGCAAAGAAATTAGTGTTGGCAATAGTTTCTTGTGGGCAAGGACTATATAGCCCATTATATCCATGGAGTTAAGTAGAAGCCTTGCATATAATAGGAATTCGGAAAGGCTAAGAACATAATCATGATAATGGTAGTAATCATGTAATTTTATATATAATTTGTATTTCTATGGATACAAATATGAGAGCTTTCAGCCAGCATTTAATCTTCCTTGTTAATATCCCTTTGAATAAAATAGAAGAATGTAGACTGATGTAGAGAAATGTAGAACTGATTTGACACAGACTTTGAAGGTAATTTTACCTGGTTGGTCATGAGATTCCAGCCTCAGTCCCTTCCTATTTAGGAGTCTTCTTCATAACTATGTGGAAACCGTTTTAAAATACAAAAGAAGAAAGCTTTAAGCATAAGCCTACAGCACCCCACAGACACCTGACACGCAGGAGGCAGTTAGTATATTTTGATGAATGAAATAATACACGTAATAAGGCTGGGCGTGGTGGCTCACACCTGTAATCCCAGAACTTTGGAAGGCCAAGGTGGGTGATCACCTGAGGTCAGGAGTTCAAGACCAGCCTGACCAACATGGAGAAACCCAATCTACACTAGAAATACAAAAAATTAGCCGGGCATGGTGGTGCATACCTATAATCCCAGCTACTCGAGAGTCTGAGGCAGGAGAATCACTTGAACCTGGGAGGTAGAGGTTGTGGTAAACTGAGGTCATCACACCATTGTACCCTAGCCTGGGCAACAAGAGCAAAACTCTGTCTCAAAAAAAAAAAAAAAAAAAAAGAATACACATATATTGGAAATCATGGTCCCATTTAATACATTCATAGTATTATCATGCAGTAAAAGTCATCAGCCATGGTCAATCCAATATTTATGGCATTCTTGATGCACAGGACAACTGCAGAGCCAATCATGTAGCTAAATAAAAGTGAATGCCTGAAAACGTATTAACACAATCCCCAAATAAATGCATGGCCTTAGTCTCCTATAACTTACAGTTTTTCTTCCTTCCCTCTTCTGAAAAAATTGTTGTGCTCTCAGTATTTCAGTTTATGGCACAGAAGAATCTTATCAAAAACACTTCAGCAATAATTTTTCCCTGCCCACAAAAATAGGCTGGATTTATCTAACCTTAAAAATAGACTCCATTTATCCACGATTTTAGGGCCCTTCTTGGAAGCTGAACTGCTAAGTTATGCAGAGTTCTTGACTCCTGGTGGTATGAACAACAAACAAAAGAGTGCCATTACTCATTTCCTCTCTTATGCAAAGACTTGCAAGTCCTTCTCCTTGATTTATTTCCCAGATTGTTTGGGTCGGATTTTAGTCTGCTCCATTATTCATGTTAGATGGCAATGGCATCATCATTATTAACACTGAGATTTTAAAGTCCATTTCTGTATCCTAGCAAATCAACTGAGTTACACAATAGCCCCCTCTCTTAACAAAACTGTGGGCTTCATTTTGCTCATTTAGAAGGAAATATGGTAATGATCTCTGTTCCTTCTCTACTGTGTGAATGGAACCAGTGACTCCATAAATGACACCAGTTTCATGCAGTCACACAGTAGTGTGTGCACGAAACACAGTAATGACTGCATGAAACTGGTGTCATTTATGGAGTCACTGGTTCCATTCCCTACTGACGTTCAGGTCCTCGTTTTAGGCCTGTCCAGAGCAATGTTTTTGTTGGTTATAACGTATGCCAGGTTTCTCGTTCTGCTAGACCTGTGAAATTCTAAAAAATAATTTTCTGCAGAAAATGTCCTAGGCAGGACCAAAACTAGAGAATGTTCAATGAGCAGTAGATATGGCCGTTTTTATCACTCTACAGTAAAAAAAATGTAAGGAGCCATCTCCCACCTTCGAATCGGTGCCTGATTCTTACCAACCCCCTTCTCTCCCCCTCTTCAGACCAGCATCCATAAGCACCTTAACCAGGTGAGAAGATGGTGAAGTCTCCAGGGAGGAAGGAAGAAGCTTGAACATCATTTGGTTCAACCTCTTACCTACCTTCCATTTGATTCTCAAATCGTCTTTTACAATATTTGTGCAAGAGTGGTTTCCTTTTCTAGGAAGGGAGAGAGCTAAGCATGTGTGGCTTGGTGAGTCTGGGCCTGTTCTTAAATTTATTCGTATGTGGCAAGGTAAAGCCTTTGACCTTCAAACTGTTGGGGGGCCTCTGCATGTTCAGCAAAGTGCTGGCAGCGTTAGCACCTCCCCTGGCACTGGTTAAAGAAAGTTCTTAAAAAGTTAGAGAATTTAATGGCTGGGCACGGTGTTGGCTCACACCTGTAAACTCAACACTTTGGGAGGCCGAAGCAGGTGGATCACTTGAGGTCAGGAGTTCAAGACCATCTGGCCAACATGATAAAACCCTATCTCATGGCTGTAGTCCCAGCTACTGGGGAAGCTGAGGCAGGGGAACTGCTTGAACCCAGGAGGCGGAGGTTGTAGTGAGCCAAGATCACACCACTGCACTCCAGCCTGGGTGACAGAGCAAGACTCCGTCTTAAAAAAGTAAAGACTTTAGCACTTGAATTGACATCTGACATATACTTATGTAAAGACATACATTCTATATACATTTGCATTTAGGTAAGGTAAAATGTACTGTATCTAACTTGACAGGGCCAGAAAGTAACATACTTTCATCTTAATCATGTATTTGATGCGTGGTAAGCATGTGGCTTGGCTAGTTTTGAGCAGATCCTACAAGCATCACCATCTCAAAGGAAGACTCCTTTTTTTTTTTTTTTTTTTTTTTTTTTTTTTTTTGAGACAGGGTCTCACTCTCTCGCCCAGGCAGGAGTGCAGTGGCGCAATCACAGCTCAGGTGATCCTCTCACATCAGCCCCCCGGGTAGCTGGGACTGCAGGCACACGCCACCACACCTGAGTAATTTTTGTATTTTTCACAGAAATGAGGTTTTGCCATGTTGGCCAGGCTGGTCTCAAACTTGTGGGCTCAAGCAATTCACCCGCTTCGGCTCCCAAAGTGCTGGGATTACAGGTGTGAGCCACCGCACGCCCAGCCTCAAAGGAAGGTTCCTTGTAAGAAACTATTATAGGCACTCATTCAGAATACTAAAGAGATGAAGATACATGCTCCGTTGTTAAGCGCAGATGTTTGTTGAAAGCTTTTACTTTTAAATCAACAGTGTGAAGTATGAAACAAATGTGGAATTTACACATGTAAACACTATAGATTTACTCTTCAGATTTTTTTTTGAAAGGCAGTGCTTTCCAAGCTACAAATCATATATATAGCATAGTGCCAATTACACAAAAATGTGAAGAAAAAAACTCTCAAAATACAAATTGATAATTTTCTGAAAAATTACTGCAATTTATTTTAGACAGCTCCTATCATAGCAGGAGAGCCAAGGGCAGCCACTACCAGCTGAACCATTCTGTTCCCTAAGACATTTCAACTTTTGCCCCTAACCTGAGCATTCAGAAAATTCCTCCAATATATTCCTAAGCTGACCACTTGCTTAAAGTTATGCATAATTCCCTACATAAGCACTACAGTCTTTCTGAGTTAGCAGCTATGAGAAAAAACCCACCCGCAATATCAACTGCTCCCACTTATCTTAATGAGACATGCTTGCTTCAAGCCTTGCTGGCTTATTTCATCACCAACACCCTGCAACATGCAAACAAAACACGCCCAGCTTTGAACCAACTAAGCTTTATAGAGCTCTAATTTTAATTACTTATCAAAAGGTCCCCAGCAGAAAATGAAGTGATGCAAAGCTAGACCAAAGGCAAATGAAAATAGTATGCGCTCTCAAATTAAGGAAAGCAGTAAGTAATTAGGTATCTGCAGAGAGGCGACTCATCAGCTTAGGTGTGTGTCTAACAGTGGTGATGTGTGTTGGTGGGGCTGGGGGCAGCTATATCCCATCTGGTACCTAGCAACTTGCGATATCAATCACCCCTCCTCCTCTACAACCTTAGATTATGGTCTCTTTCATGAAAAAAGAAAAGCATCCCTAACTTTTACCTTTCCTTCCCTTTTAAGCTCCAATCTCCTCTCTATTCCTCTTCAGCACACGGAGTGAAAAACTCTCTATATTGTCTGTGTCCGCTTATAGCTGCTCTGTTGCTTCTGGGTCTCCTGAAATTGGGAGTCTACTTTGTTTTTCTAATTGTACTTTAAGTTCTGGGGTACATGTGCAGAACATGCAGGTTTGTTACATAGGTGTACACGTGCCATGGTGGTTTGCTGCATCTATCACCCTGTCATCTACATTAGGTATTTCTCCTAATGCTGTACCTCCCCTAGACCCTCACCCCGACAGACCCTGGCATGTGATGTTCCACTCCCTGTGTCCATGTGTTCTCATTGTTCAATACTCACTTATGAGTGAGAACATGCAGCATTTGGTTTTCTGTTCTTGTGTCAGTTTGCTGAGAATGATGGTTTCCAGGTTCATCCATGTCCCTGCAAAGGACATGAACTCATCCTTTTTTATGGCTGCATAGTATTCCATGGTGTATATGTGCCACATTTTCTTTATCCAGCATATCACTGATGGGCATTTGGGTTGGTGCCAAGTCTTTGCTATTGTGAACAGTGCTGCAATAAACATACGTGTGCATGTGTCTGCATAATAGAATGATTTATAATTCTTTCAGTATATACCCAATAATGGGATTGCTGAGTCAAATGGCATTTCTATTTCTAGATCCTTGAGGAATTGCCACACTGCCTTCCACAATAGTTGAACTAATTTACACTCCCACCAGCAGTGTAAAAGTGTTCCTGTTTCTCGGGAGTCTACTTTCAACCTCCCCCTAGAAACTCCCATAATGATCACATCAAAAGTCTCCTCAGGTGCCTTCCTCTGAATTTCTGTGGCGGACTCCTCTACAAGCTCCTCCCAGATCAGCCGGCCCATTTTCGTGGTTTCTCAATCACACCAGTGGCCTCCAATCTGCCTCACTGGGTCTCTCCTCTCTCCAAAACACTAAATCCACACTTCTAGCTTTGAGCCTTGAGTTCAACTCCTACTGCTGCCATAACAACGTATCACAGACTAGGTGGCTTCAGCAACAGAAATGTAGTATCTCCCAGTTCTGGCGGCCAAGAGTCCGAGATGAAGGGGTCGGCAGGCTGGTTCCTTCTGAGGGTGGAAGGGGGAATCTGTTCCATGCCTCTTGCAGTTCTAGTGCTCCAGTCCTCAGAGGTGCAGTGCTCCAGTCCTCAGAGGCGCGG